CTACGCCTAATACGCGTTACCGGTTAGTCTTTTCCCGTGAAAATGACAAAGTCTATGTATTCAAAATCATAGCATCAAGTCTAAGAGGGTTCATTCTCTTAGCACAATATTACATGTGAAACGGATTCAAATAATTCACATGCTAGCCCGACTCAAACGGTAGTCGGTAAAGGCTTATCAAATCCGTTGATAGCTAAGGGTTTGCCAAAAATCCTATGCATGTTTACAGGTTCATCAACTTAATGGATGTGAACCGAGACTTGAAACAGATGAGCTAAAGACAAGTCTTAAAGACTTAGTCAAAAAAATGCATGAGAGCCACCTCCACGTCTCAAGTCGAAACGCCAAGGTCAGACCCGCGTTGCAAACACCAAAACGCCGAGGTCACACCAGTGTTCCAAATTCAAAATGCAAAGGTGAGACCTGCGTCTCAAGTTCAAAACACAGGGGTCCACCCCCATATTCCAGAAGCAAGATTATGACGCATACCTTTATACAGGTCCTGCGTGGCAAATCCCTTCAACCAAGATGCCTTCGAAGCGGGTGTAGAGAACGACTCCTTTATGACAAGGAATCAACAACTCCAAGATCAGAGTTGAGATCCAAAGTATTCCGAAAATTCGTCCCAATCAATCGCGAACTTTCGAAAACTTTGGAGGGGGTTCTATAGACTGTCTAAAAATCACAATAGATAGCTGACCACCCATCAAACACAAATAATGAAAGTTACAATCTGACGACTTTCACACCCCAAAACGGCCAAGGCAAAGATCACTCAACAATGGTCTTTACAACGCTCTACAGAAGAAGTTATAAGTCATTAGCTCCTTCTAAAACGTGAAATTCACCTTCGCATTTCAGTTCTTGAAACACAGGAGACCCTCGCATTTCCAACCCTCAGCAAACAAAATGCGGATGACTCTCGCGTTTTTCAACATCCAGCGGGCGACCCTCGCATTTTTTAACATTCAACGGGTGCCCAACTCCACGTCTCCAGTCTAAAATGCGGAGTTAGGATCATGAACACCAACTTAGGCGTTGTTTGACTCATTCAACATGAGCTGAACAGTTCCAAAACCATTTCCCACGATTTGGGGGCGGTTATACCCCACTTAGGAGTGATTTAAGGGGCGGTTACACCCCCTTAATCCCCTATAAAAACGAGTAAACTCAACTGAGTTTGGGGCTTCTTTTTCGGCTGGGTTTTTTGGATCTTAAACTTGGCAGCGAAGAGGAGATCTTCGGCTTGGCAGTAAGGGGGAGATCGACGTTCATCCTTCAGTAACGTTCGACAACAAAGAGCTTTCATCATTGGCTATAAGCCGATTTCGGTTAAATCAACTCTTTCATAGAGTTTCAAACTCGTTCAGAGTTATCAACTCGTCCAGAGTTCTAAAACTTGCTTTGCAAGTTCTCCACAACGTCAAATCATGAGGAGAAGGCCACGTTCTAGTAAAACAAGATGTTCAGATCGTCAACGGAGAGAAAACTCGACGCGAGCATTCGAGGGAGGTACTTCATCACCACCGTGAAGAACCCAGAATTAAACAAATAGGAGAATCCAGATAATTCTCCTCTCTTTTGTAATCAGGAAATCCAATTGTAATCGAGATTGAGAGGGTTGTAATCATTCTTTTTTTAAGCAGTTAGAGAGAATAAATCAAATACGATTCTTTCATTTTTTTTACTACAAATTTTCCACCAAACATGGATCAAACAACCAAATTGATCCAGATTGAACCGAAAGAAAATAGAAACCAAAGCATGAGCTTTTACTGTTCATTCGTGCACGCTACAGTGCCACGAACAACAGATTTTAATAATACAAGATTAAGATAAAAAGAACCCTAATTTCATAATCTTAAACATAAATCTCAAAGAATTAAACACAGTTGCTCTGATACCACTTGTTAGATCTTAATTAAAGATCTAATACATAAAACTATGATTAATTCAAAGAGTTTAATAATAATTAGCGGAAGCAATAACTGAATCCATGACGATTTGAGCACGGATCTGAATTAGGGTTGATCTTCTAATCTGAAAGGTTTCTCTTTTGAGAATTCTCTTTAGATGGGGATTAGAGAATGGAGAACGCAACCTTTAGATTAGGGACCATAACCCCTTTATATAGATTTACAATTTTCTAATTTAGCCCCTCATAAAATTAGAATTACAGTTTGGTATCTGCACAATTCGCCCATGACACATTTAAATACCCATTAACCCAATTGACTTAATTGATCACTTTATGCGGGTTAACCTTAAAGATAACATTATACACTAATATAACATATATGCCCACAATTAGATTTAATCCAAAAAGTAAGCTCGCCCCCTATTTTTATCCATTCTGTGGAGAAAATGCAAGAACCTTTCCTATAACCCTTTTGTCAGTGCCAATATTGAACTAACTCGGATAGAACAATATTGTAACAAGAAAAACTGCTGACTTTATCAATCGATGGAGGAACCTCAGCTTGCATTGTCCACATTAATATCAAAGGTAGAAGCCGTGAGAATGTGTATGAATAATTTTTAGCTAGATATAACAGTTCATTTGCAGGGAATTCGTCCGCTTACATTTGAAGAGGATTCCTCAAAGCTGCCTGACGCTAAGAATTATGTGGAGCGAGTTGCGAATTAAGCGCTTCAATAAAAGGAACCAAAACATTAAAACGAAGTTTCAACCACAACAAATTAAAAGGAATCTTCACCTTTCAATGACAAAAAGAAGAATGTGATAGCAACACTAGTCAAAGCAGAAGCATCAAGAACCTCAACAGGGCCATCATAATCCAAAGACCGACGATCTAATCGATGAAGAACTTGAAAAAATACTGCTAGCTAGATTACTAGATATATAAAGCTCATTCAGCTGCAGATAATTTAATTAAGCACAAATCTCATCAAAGATCCAAATAATCTAAGCACAAATTCTTGTCAAAGATTAATTGCTGGGCATTCAGAAAGCTCGTCCACAGAATGATCAACGACGACAATCGATCTCAAGAAATACATAAAGGAAAAGGAAGTCATACATATGCATGGCGTCGATATCATTGCTTCCCCAGTGAAATGAGAATGAAGACGGAGACGAAGATTCAGATCTATTTCACTTTCTCAGGGAGGCACTCGCCATCCAGGTTGTGGAAATAACAAAAGTCGGCAATCGTTTACAGCGAGAAGAGCAGCATTTCCACCTCAAGAAGTCTGGTCTCACGTCAGCGGCAAAACCTATATACTGTGAGCATCACCACAAGTATTGGTACGACATTTGACAATGCCGCTTGCTCAAAGATATCACTCGCAGATGATCGCGATGAGATGCACTGTAGAGTCTCACCACACTAGAAACTACAACATTTGGATTCTTAATTATGGTAAGAAACATTTTTTTTACAAACGCAAATCCGATGTCTGGTTAGTTTCAAAAGTATAAGGATTCCATATTTTGTTACTAATTTTTTTTTGGGGTCACTACAAGTATGTTTCATTGCAAATTAAGTATATGTTTGTCAAAATTGTAAAATAATAAATATTCGGGCTGAGTTGTTATAACTAACTTGATTATACTTCATATTTTTAATTGTCTTATTAATAAGAGAACTTGCTACATTTGTTGCAATAGAAAAATTTAGGCTAAATATCATAAAACTCCCCTTAACTTTGGACAATTATCATAAAATCCCTCTTAACTTTTAAAATATTAGAAAACCCCTTTAAGTTTATGGGTAATCACAAAATCCTTTTACTTTTTATTTTATAAAAAAAATCCCCCTAAATTATTTAGACGGGTTTTTGGTAAAAACTTAAAAGTTAAAGAGAGTTTTCTGATAAAATCTGAAAGTTAAATGGAGGATTTGTGACAATTCTATACTTAAGGGTAGGCTGATAATTTGGCAGTTAAGGAGGGTTTTCTGCTAATCCTATAGGCCCCGTTTGACAAAGGGTTAATGAAGAGGGGTTAAAGAGAAGGATTAATATACTTAGCCCATTTGATAGTCCGAAGGACTAAATTATTAACCCGTTAAATAAGTTTTATTTTAGCCTTTATGATCAGTTTTAGTGTTTGGGAATAACAATGATTTTGACTATTTTCTTTATAATTAGAAGGGTTAACTCTTATTCCATCTAAATAGGAGTATTAGTAAACCCCTCATTTTGAGGGGTTAACTCATTTTAACCCCTCTAGAGGGGTTAACTTAACCCTTCTATATTTTTTATGTTTGGAAAATTATGGAGGGTTAACTCACTTTAACCCTTATATAGATTTGTTGTGTTAGGCAGGTTAAGAAGGGGTTAAGTCTCCTTAACCCCTCTCTTAACCCTTTGCCAAACGGTACCATAAAGTTTTTTTTTGGCGTTTTTTTTGTTCGTTTTTTTTGGGGGTGGGGAGGTTCTGATATTTACCCAAAAATTTTCCGCAGCAATGTAGATTCCTTCATCTCGGCCGTCCGCTCAGAAACCAACGATGGATGAAAAGCTTACGATGTCACTGAATCTTTTGTGGACCCCATCGCCCTTCTAAATTAACCCCTAGGACAAATTTTCAAAACCAACCTTTTTGATTTTTTATTTGTAAAAAACGACCCATTTTCAAAATATTTGTAAAAACCGACCTGGTTTCAGCCTCAGCGCTGAAACCAGGTCGGTTTTTAAAAAAAAGTTTCCGAAACTTCACGGGAGTTGAACTCCCGTGAAGTTTAGCAGCTTTTAATTAAGCTGCTAAACTTCACGGGAGTTCAACTCCCGTGAAGTTTCACAGTTCAAAATTTTTTTTTAACTGTGAAACTTCACGGGAGTTCAACTCCCGTGAAGTTTCGGAAACTTTTTTTTAAAAACCGACCTGGTTTCATCGCTGAGGCTGAAACCAGGTCGGTTTTTGCAAATAAAACTGAAATAGGTCGTTTTTTACAAATAAAAAACCAAAAGGGTTGGTTTTGAAAATTTGTCCTTAACCCCTGTACCAAAGTATGTCTCTCTCATTTTTAGCACCCTCTCATTTATTGATCTCAGATCTCTCTCTCGAAATCCTTAAAACCCTATTTGATTTCGAGCTCGTTTCGGTATCAAAATCTCGACCTCGATCTCGATCCGATGGTCGTCTGCAAATGTCGCAAGGTAAAATCGAATCCAATCTCCCTAATCTTCATCAATTCAGTCAATTTTTTTTTTCTTCCACTGATGAATTTGACTCCGATTTGAAGAATCTAGACTCGTTTTAGGGAATTCATCTCGTTTTTGTGATCCGGCCGATGAACTTCAGTTGAATTGGATTGAATTTACCAGCAGAGATCAGTTCTTTTGATTTTGGGATTTTTTTTTGAATTTTTTTCTTTTTTGTGATTTCAGGCGACCAGGATTTATTGCTTCGTGCACAAGGTTCCAGTTTGCGGGGAATGCATATGTTTCCCTGAGCACCAGATTTGTGTGGTAACAATTTAAAACTTTTCTCTTGCATTTTTTTGGTTTTTCGTGAAATCATCACCACTGTTCTAGATGCTAATTTTAGCTCCATTTACAGTTCTGAATTGCGAGTTGTAGTGAGTGAAAGTGGAGTCTTTTTATCTTTATACTTGGTTTTTTTTCCTTTGTCAATTACTTTCATATGATTAAAAAATCTGGATATTTGATGTCCAAGAGTCTTAGCCATAATTTTACAAAAGAAAATAGTGCGAGAATTAAGAATACATATAAGAAAAAAAAGTTTATTTCATGAAAAAGATATTTCAGAAACCGACTGCAATGGAAGTAATCACATGAGAAGATCTTAATAACATTGGCTTCGAATGAGAGTAGTTATTAGAGTATTGGAGTTGAGACATGAAGAATTGATTACCAAAATTCCGAATTATGGATAGATTTTAGGTAAGCACTACTAAGGTTGGAAGGCTGGACAAAAAATTTGAAGGAAAACACTTCTCTAATATTCACATCTTTATGACTTTCCTCAATCTAGAAGGGATAATACACAGGGTTTGGGTCAATAAAGAAATCCAATAATGTTGGTTGTCGTGTTTATCTGCTTTTCATACCTGAGAAAGGGAGGTAGTCATTGTTAAATTTGGATGATAAAACTTATTCATTATCTTATTTGAAAGTTTGGGATAATTTCTTTTTGTTGTTATCCTTACTGCTGAAATCCTTACTATTTGACTTCGAAGGTTGTGTATCTCTCCAGAACCCTAACAAGCTGACCTATTTAATTAAGAAGCTAACCCATAAGTATCTAACTAAAGTGAGGATTGTTTAGTTGTTAATTAGCCTGCTAAACTTAACAACAGATCAATCCTTTCTCTTAATCAATCTCTATGGATAGTGGATATTCTTTCATCAGCCTGATTATATCATACCTTAGACCTAACCTTATACAGAGTCCTTCAGCTTTTGGGTTCAAGGTTGATTTATAACCCAAACCGAAATAAATGTGAAATTGTAGCAAAATAGTTAAACTGTAATTGGTGAGAATATGTAATATTTGCAAAGTTAGTTGTAATACTTTCTCTTCATTCTATTTCCGCAAGATCATGTGTGATCCGTACATATATTTTCTTAAGTTCAATCAGATGTAACCTGATCCTCCGATTCAACCCAATCAAAGTATGATCTGGCTCGATCCAATTAATCCTTTAAAGGTTTGGTGGGAATGTGGGATTTGAGTGGTTATTTCCTAATCTGATAGTTGAAGTGGCTTGGGCTAGGATCAAGATTTTAGAGCTTGTATTGAGTTAGGATTGACTCTTTACCCAACCAAACTCGTTTGGATTTCATGTCTGATAAATTAATTCTGCAACATCACTGTCTTTAGGAATTGAAGGTCATAGGACAAGAAAGAACTTCAATAAATCTCTCACATGATGTGATACCTAGGAGCAAATCTGTACAATGAATGATGTCGAATCAAAACAGTGTGATGATAGTGATTTATTTAGTGAAAAATTAATAGCCGATTAAAATGGAAGGAACACTAAGATTAAAATCTTTAACTAGACTATCTTTTTCGCAAAGTACATGTAGACTTTAGGGATACATTCATTTGGCTTGTTGCAAGACAGGTAATGAAATATTGGTAGAAGTTGGATGGGAAGAGTAGTGGTGGTTAAAAGCTAAATGAAAACTACATGAGTGAATAGGTAGATAATTGAGACATAGTAGCTTTCTCTCTCATACCTCATCTTTCCTTCTTTGTCCTTTTGCATGATTAACTGTTTTTAGTAAATAGAATAGTGAAATCCAGCATTGCATTTAATGAGTGGAGGTTTGAAATGTATTTTTTAAGATAGACTTGGTCTATACGCATTGGTATCTGCAGAACCACATTTTCATTTATTCTGAAATGATCCCAATAAAGTTAAAAAGTACAAAACAAATTGAAAATAAAATAAATATTAGAATAACATTGTTGTTAACATTAAGTACCTACATTTCTTTTATTTCAAAATAACGTCAATAAAAATGAAACAAAATTAAAAACAATCTAAAGAAAAGAAAACAGTAAATTTCATGCTTTATTGTAAGAGTAGCTTTAAGTCCTCTGAAGCCTGTTTTTAGTATCATATTCATGTAGTTGATGTGCTTAGGAATTACATATTCAACTTGCCTTTGCTAATTTCTCAGTTGTATATTTTCAGACATTATAAATCAATAGATAATGAAGTTTAACGAATTAATTGATGATTCACAACTTTTGTAATTCAGAAATAAAATTATGCTCATTCTAGTTAGTATAAACATAAGATTTCCTAGAGAAATTAGGAAAGTAGTAATGTGGAATGTACCCCTATGAGTTTTGATATGTCTAAATACCAAATGGTGTTGTCATGTGTCTACAGACAATATGTCATATAAAGTTGTCATGTGTCTAGATACAATGTATGCTGTGGTGCTAAATGTCTGGTCATGCTTTGATTAGCAGGTCAATTGTTTTGTAATGTATGTTTGACTCTACTACAAATAAGAGTTAATGAGGAGGGCTAATAAAACATTGTTCGCTATTTGTTTTTTCAACATTATCGCCCTCTATTTCATATGATACCAAAGCAAGCTAGCTTCAAATCCCATTGGCAATCATTTAAAGCGGATATAAAAATGAGATACCACTGTGCCATTCCATTTTTTTGCCCATAAAAGGGAGTGCAACCCATGGGGCATGTTAGAGTAAAATTATAACCCTTGGCTTTCACCAGAATTTCGCTGCTTTTGTGTAGTGGAATAGACCTTTAACATATGAGATAGAGTGAGGCAATGTTAAGAAGAAGAGAGAGAATGAGAGTTTGGTTAGCGCTCTCCCCTTATTTACAGTAACAATTGCACAAGTGATACAAAATCATTGGCCTTCTAATCAAGATATGACCACAATAATCAAGATATGACCAGTGACCAGAAGTTTAGCACAATGACTATGTCCATTGCGCCTTAATACATGACAATTCCACCTTATTATGTATTGTATCTAGACTCATTGTAATTCCACCATGTGATGCATGGTATCTAGACTCATGACAACTCATAAAAGAATATATTCCACCACACTACTTACCTAATATCCTACACCCACCTTCAAACCCTCAAGTTGTCTATTTGGTGACATCATTATGCTTGTGACCATATGATTCATGAAAAATGACCTGAATGCTAAATTATGAACAAGACATGATAATTTTTTATGATAGATCTGAATATTTTACCGTGGTACTTGTGAGTAAATTAGTGTAGTTTTTTAATTAAATTTTAGCCTTTTATTTTGTTTCTATTTTTGAAATCATGTCCCTATTTATCTATCCTCTGACCAAACTATGCCTAGAGAAAGGGAGGGCAGGGAAAGGGGTAGGTGAGTAAGTAAAAATCTCAATTTAATTATCCAATTTCTAATTGGACAAATGCAAGGATGCAAATACAACATTAATTGCAAATTGTTTATCTCAAACTACAATAAAATAAACCAAGCAAATGACAATTTGATAAAAGTCGAGAGAGATGGAGAAGGGCACTCTAGTATCCTTTTGACAATTGCTTACCTCATTACCTAAGTGCCTCCTTGTTAGAATTTCAAATCTCATTGGCTGCCTTTGTAGAGGATAGACTTCTTTTAGATCATCAATGACATCCCACTAAAGAGATTGAATTTCTCTTACAAATGCACTCTCCTTCCTGATGAGATTTTATTTCACCCAACTCTTATCTTATGTCTCAAGTACAAGAGCTGATCTGTTCTCTTTCACAAATTGAGAAACAATGTGGCTCATGAATATGAGATTTCTTTTAAAATCAAAGATCACACCCGACTTCTGAGGCTTTAATAGTAGAAAAATGAAGAATGGAGAGGTTTGGTACTTTAAAACAGAAAATTATTGTAAATCTAAAGCCAAGTGTCTCTAAGTCAATTAATGTGAAAGTTTAATATATACTTGTTGTTTAGGAAGTGTCCAAGCTATTGCTCATATTGAACCAACTGTTGTAGGTTTAGATTGTTTCAAAAAGTTCAATCTTAGACCGCTGAAAGATAAGTCAGATTTGTTACGCTTTCCATGATCCACTCCTTCACACACTGTTGTAACAGATTTACTACTGAAATGCCATACGCAAGCTTGAAACTGCACCTGTAGAAGAAGCTCAAAACCAAGATCTCAACTGAGATTTTAAATATTGGTTGGAATGAATAACAATACAATTTTAGACTTTTGAGTATATATAAACCAATTTTGTAACTTATACTAAATAAGATCATTACTAACTTGATCATTATGATTTCTTTACTCTATTTACCTAGTTTTGGGATAGACACTTTTCATCATTGTTTTCTTGCTTCACATCAATGGTGGATAGAAGCACCTTTCTTTCTGCAATACTTCTCAATGATTCTGTAATTGTCGTTCCTTTTCTGATATTATTTTATTTGTGACATATATCATCATTCTAGGTAAGCTGTGAGGGAGGGGTTGTATCTTTTCGATAGATGCTGCTATCTGTTTCTGCTGATTGGGACTTTAAACCTTCATGAGCATGCATCATGCACATGTTTAGAACATCATGCATACAAATATTTCCTTTACATTTGCTTTGAAGCATGCATGCACTAGTGTATTCATCGCTGTTTAGTTATATTTTATCTTTTTAAAATCAGTTTATACTGTTATAGTGCACTTATTTTCTCTATTTCAGGTAAAAAACTACTCCGATTGGGTAGTCAATGGGGATTATGATTGGCCTCCTACATGTTCCGTATGCAATATTGTTCTTGTAGCTGGAACAGATACTACTCGATTGGGTTGCTTGCGTATGAGATACTCTGTTCTATGCCTTACATTGTATACTGTCAGTTGACAGGAAGACATTTTACCTTACATGATCTTGCTTTCCCCCCCTCTATTCTCATTGTTGCAGATGTTATGCATACTACCTGCCTGGTGTCACATGCTCAGAGTTTTCCTCCTCAGACAGCACCAGCAGGATATGTTTGCCCTTCTTGTTCTTCTCCTGTAAGATACATTCATAAACTTTCTGTATTGTTTATTTGACTGCACTGTTCAGTACTCCGATTGTTTCTTTTTCAGTTAAACATAATTGCTCTATTAACTAGCCTTTCCTCTTTTGAGGGTAAACAAGTAAAATTTCACCCTTTTCCTTTTTCAGGGAGAAATTTTGAATGTGACTTCTTTCTGTCAATCATCTTGGATCTTATTCTAATATTGATGGTAGATCAATAAAATTGCTTTGTTTCACAGTGATAGTTCAGTTGGAGGTTTCTAGAATTGCGATTTGGTACAATATTATATTTTGTGAAAAGTTGTGAAAAGATGGTTTATGCAACTTATTGCAGAAAAATGCTTTTATCTGCAGATATGGCCTCCGAAAAGCATTAAAGATACAGGATCCCGCCTTCACTCGAAGTTGAAAGAAGCAATAATCATGGTAAGGTTTATCTTGTTAATTTTCTTAGGCTGTTGGTACATGGTACTTTGTATACTACCTAAAGGCATGAAAAGCTCATTAAATTACTTCCCAACCAGTAAGCCATTTCCATCTTCATGGATTGTTACATGTTCTTGTCCAGTGCCTTGCTTTAACATTTTGTATTTAAATGGGAACATTGGGAAGTGTTAAGGATTGCCTAGCACTTGATAGCCAAAGTTGCTAAAGCATATTATTCATGCGCGACATGTTAATCAAGCCAGATGCTCGAGCTTTTGAGTTTATCTGGATAATCATGTGCCTAATTCTTCAACACTTGAGGATGTTTAGCTTATCATGATTATAGGACCATCCATGACACATGTCTTGCAAATACGATTGGATATCTCATTGTAGCCACCAACCACTAAGTTTCTAAATGAGTCGATCTCTCTTATTTATTTAAACGTCGCCACAACCTTTTGATTTCCAGTTATTAATTGGAAGATAAGACTGAAGGTTCTCCTTTGCAGATATAATTCAGAGAAGTTTTGTCATTCTACTTTCGAGTATCATGTTGATTTTGGCATTTTATGTTGATTATAACAATCGGTCTATTCACATCATCAGATATATAACCAAGTAAATCATTGATATCCAATTTGAGAGTACACTATAGACTGCAATTGGAAAGTAGGTCATGATGAGGCTATTTGTTTTATGAAGGTTTGAAAATTGTATTTCCAATGTCTTGGTGACATTGGGTTGACTCTTTCTCATCTAGCATTTTCATCACTTAGTTTTCCTAACCTTTATTTATTTACTGTTTTTGTTATATCTGTTATATCACTTATATATTTGTCGTACTTTCTGAATGTTGTCCTGATTCTGATCCTTGCACTGATGGTCCTAGAGTGGCCTGGAGAAAAATATCTTTGGAAATCATCTGGTTTCATTGCCAACATTAGAGTCCCGTGCTCCCCCTCCAGCTTTTGATTCAGATCCGATTACCAACATATCCAGTGTCGAAGACAGAAAATCACCTGGTTCGAGCTCAGTCATAAATGCAACGTTACCATCTCCTTCAGTTTCTGTGGGGACTTTTAAACATTCAGAACCAGAGATAGTTGAAATAGATGGTCCCAGTTCTTTAGGGAGCCAATTTGTGGCAGACAAAGATCCAAAATTCGTGAAAAGTGGGAGTCTTCCAGGGGTAAGTTATATCTTAGCGACTAACTGACCTTTTCTAAATCTATATCTGGTGTGAGCGCTATATGATTTGTGTTTTTCTATTCATGGGCTTATTTGTATGCATTTAAAATAATGCTCTCGCTGTCTTCTTGTCTAATGCCATACAGCCTGGTGCTGCAACGAGAAAGGGACCTCACCTTGTTGAAAGACAAAATTCTGAAATATCATATTATGCGGATGATGAAGATGGAACACACAAAAAATATACTAGAAGAGGTAAGTCAGCACAGGTTGATCATGGATTATTTCATTTGTTTTTAGGCCGTTATCTAACAGAAGATGAAGTTAAAGAAACCATCACTTGCCAATTGCTGTAAGCCTTATGATTTTACATTTTTTTTTCTCTTTTCTACATTCGGCCATATTCTGGATCCCCCCTTAAGTCCCTTTAACATAATTAATGTCTACTTGGGATTTGTCCTCTTGCAATTATTGAGCCTATGATCTATACTTGGAGACTCCATCATTTGTTGTAGTTAATTGGCATGACCTGAAAGGTAACACTGGATAATTGACAGAAATGTGGAATGTTGACTACTAGATTGCAATTATGCCGTGATCATGCTGTGATCAACGGAACTGACTAAAGCATGCGTGACGTGCATTTTTGCAGCTGAGTTTCTGTTAATATTAAGTTATTAATATCTCATTCATGCAGTGGCATCTGGTACCGTATGAGTTTTTACTATTGCATTGTTTAGACTAGATACTACTATGCATCCTTAAATTATGTTATTTAGCTTTAATAAATTGCCCTCAACCAAGATAGCAACATCCATCTGGCCATTAGTCACACGACTACATCTTGCCTCTGTTACTAAGACATCTAAGTATTTTATGCCTCCAAGTGTCTTGTCTTTCTTGAATTCGACTTCAGTCATAGGTAACAAGGCTGTTTCTGTTTTAAACTCGAGCCCAAAGCTAAGAAAGGCTTCAAATGCTTGTTAGTCAGTTAGGTATGTAGCTGTCGAAGCAGATTTCAGATATTTTAGGCTCAATGTCTGAACAACTCATGCATTCAAGCCTTTTCTCGTTCTTGAATTTAGTGGCAATGTCATAGATAACAAGGCTGTTTCTACATTATACTTTAGATCAGAGCATACAAAGGCTACAAATGTTTGTTGCTCAGGAGTAGGCATTGAAGCAGGCTTGAGATGTTTTACCATCAAATCTGTCTGAATAAGACATGAATGATTAGCACTAACAAGATCCTGAAGCCTCTTCAGGTTTTTTGTTGGCCAGGTCTTGGGTTTTGGCTCAAACTGTGGACATCTTTACCGTAAATGGTTGTCCTTCTGCCTTCTTTGGCTTACAGCATGTGTTGAATAAAAGAACTATATATGTTACTTTATGTATACAACAACAAAACAGCAACAAACACTTTATCGTTCTTAATTGCTTCCGACCAAGTTCTCTTATGTCTACCTCCAGATTTCTTTGCCCCATTAACTATAATATTATTACTTTTCCTAACATGTGTACTAAGATGTCTCCGTTGTACATGACCAAACCACCTTAGTCAATTCTTTGCCAATTTTCCTCAATAGGGGTCATCTCTAATTTATTTATTGTAGATGCACTCATTTCTTATTCGATCTTTTAGATTATACACCTATGAGACTATCATGACATTCTCATTTCTGGTAAAAATATTTTTCTCACATGCTTTTTGATTGTCCAACATTCTAATCCACAAAGCATTGTTGGTCTTATAACTGTCTTATATGAAATTTTCTCTTTGGTCACATAGGAGTTCTACGATCATATAAGACTCCCAAAGCACTTCTTCATTTTTAACCATCCTCTCATCCTAACGAGTCTTTTCACTAGATGAGGTCTCTTCAACCAAATTTGAATTTGATCTTCTAAACTTTGTAGCTCTTGTGAACTCTAATGGTGCAATCTTCAAGGTCTTCAATAGTTTACATGGACACTGTGTTTTGTGTGCTGAATTCGTGTCTGACACGTGTCAGACACGGATTCGCTGTAGAACACGCTGTGGACATATGTGGTTCAAAGTAAAATCCAATTTCCCCATTGCTTATACCCTAAAATAGTTTTTTGATAATATCGGGTTCAAAACCAATAGGCTTTTGAACCCGATAGTCGAAACCACCCGTATTTAAAGATTTAAAAAATACCCATTGTATACCATGCAATAAAAACTTAACTTTTGTTGTTAAATCTTATTCTTAATTTAATTTGAGCTTTGATTCTTAATTGTTATATTATTATATATATAATAAAAAAGAAACATACAAATATTATAGGTATTTTACTTCAATATTTAATCTAATGTAAAATACTAAAATATATGTATACAATATACATAGTCGTGTCCCCGTATTCTACATTTAGTCGTGTCCCCGTATTCTACATTTTACAAATATGCCGTGTCCTGTGTTTGAGTTCGTACCACACCCACACCCGTATCCGTACAATCAAGATTGACATTATCTGCAAAACTCGATAGCGGGTTGGCGGACGAGGATCTCGCTTAATAAACTCAATCTTCATTTTGTCTTCAACTGGAAGTGACTCGAACTGTATCTTGATTTGATTCTGCGGCGCTGAGATTTCACGCTCAAACTCAGGCTCTAACTCTAGTTTGAGCCCTGGATTGGCTTTCTGATTTGGTTCTAGTTCTTGTTTTAACTCAGGCTTCTGGTTCAGAATGTGGACTCTATTGTTTGAATTTTTTTTCTTGATTAACCTGGTTTGATAGCATTATGATGAGGTCAGCATGTTAGAATATTCTAGTAGCTGAGGTCACAAAGTCTGGCTCATGCTCATGCTGCAATCTGACTCGAGGACATGCTTCGATTTTGACTCAAATCCAGAATATAAAGGTGCATCCGATTTCTTTTGAGGCACTGGTGGTGATAGTTCTTCAGGCTTTAATGAGACACAATATCTCGCAAATAGGGGGCATGAACACCTTTCATAAAGAAATTTTATGGACTTCCACGAACATACATATGGTCGATAAGAACAATAATAGTAATACCACCAATCTTTTGCTTTTCCCCTCAATTTAAACGTAGCATATATAAATATCTCCAAATCTGACATATCATAATAATTAAACAAATATTCTAATTCTTGCATCTATAGTTCAAAGTCGTATTTTTTGTCATATTCATCAAATCCATAAAAATAAGACACATTGCCAAATTTAGAAGGATTAAATTCATGTTATTGTGAAGGAGGAAACAAAACATGATAATTTGTTGATCGATGAACTTGCTCTAATACCAAATGATGCAGAATGGAAAATCTGCAAAAAACTTTGGATGAACAGCATCGTAAATAGTTCCATGAACATGAACTTTTTTTTGGTTATAGTAAATAAAAGACCAAATAAAGAAGATAAAAGATAGATAGGATAGATCGGATTCACTCATAGTATCTAACCTCTGAAAAGATGGAAGAGGCCAGTTTCATACATAGACGCCTTACCAAAAACAATATGACTTCACGCCTTTGAGAAATCACTCTTCAATTCTAAAATTATTCATCATAAACTCCCTGAATGCAAACAAAACCTACAACTCTTTATTTAGTGCTTCTAATGGTATCTCTACTAGAATTCAAAATACAAGTAAACTTCTAATCCTAATACTTGAAATCTAACTAATCCTATCTTGCAAAAATTTAAATGCTATAGAACTCTAATTTAAAATGTAAATAATATAAATCTAATCAATAATATCCTAACAACTTAACTCGTCCTCACTAGTCTTTTCATCAGATGACGACTCTTCAATCAAATTTGAATTTTATCTTCAAATTGTCCTACATCAAATAGCCCATTAACTAGAGGTCTATTTGCTATAGTCCTGTTTGCCCTTATGACATCGTTGGTCTTTTGAGCCCATAGTGTGCCTTAACAATCTTGTTTAGAGATGGCTTAATAGTTGGTATAGTGAAGCAACTTGGATGGCTTTCTGTTAAAGGGTTTTAACTTGTTTCAAGATATAACAACAGATCTGAATTTTTGTTTAATAAATAAGTTCAAATCATATGTTGGTGCTGTCTGTTATTTCTCTCACAATCCAAGAAAAAGGAAAGTTGTAGTATCTGTGTCCAAGAAGATAAAATTTCATTTAGAGTAAGCTATTTGAAAGATCATGAATATTTTTTTATCATTTTTTCTATGGAAGTCATATTTAACTCAAATAACTGCAATTAATTTGTTTGTTATATTTATCTAGAATAGTGTAAGGCAATAATTGAAACTTCTTACTTGAGAAAATACTAAAGTTTTCTTGCACTTCACGTTCTTGACTATGTGAAATGTGATTCGAGGCTCAAATTTTTTCTCAGACTTCTGCTAAAAAGTATATTTCCCGTACACTCCATGTTTCTTGCACTGTTTTGTTCTTCCTCTTTTTTTGGGGGTCATTAACACGTTAGTAATGCAATTATTTTTCTAATTGCTAGCATAAGTTGTATACAAGGTTGAAGTATATTGACATCCATAAGTCAACCATTTTGTATCCTATTTTAAGCATTGTTGGTTTTCAGCAGTCAAAGTGGTCGATACTACTGATTTTTTTTTGATAGTGGTTGATATAGTTCAAATTAGCTAATAAAGATAATACATGAATACCAAGTGTTGATTTTATAGTATTGTATTTGATTTAATAACTAAATTGGGCAAAAAATAGTAGAAGATATCAAATCTGTAAAAACTTGTGAATATCAATAATTTGATCTTAAATTGCTAGAATCATGGAAACACCCAATACCAGTACGAAAAAAGAACATCAAATCCATTATCAATCCTAACTCAACAATTACAATACTTCATATGAGTTGGACACAAATATTCTTAGAAACCATATAGATGATGATGTCCTCGCATCTAGACCCGACCACCAAGCCAGGTTTGGGCTAAGCCTAGCCAGAACCCGCTAGGCACGGGCTTATTCGGGCCAGGGCGGGCTGGATATAGCCCAAAATTTTATTGGTTTTTTATTTTTTCCTTTTTTTATTCGCATATTGGGTTGGCCTTGGATCGAGCATAGTTGGGCTTGGCTAAGCCATACATAGTTAGGTTACTAAAACCCGCTTTTATTTGGTGGATATTTCCTACCCAATCCATACCAAAACATGACCCAATTTAATCATTAAAATCATACCGACTCTCTTCCCCCTCCCCCCTTTCCCTTTCCCCTTCCCCCTCCCTCCCCTTCACCCTAATCTTCCATTCG